AAACGGGCCGACCTCGAACTGCAGGTCTGACTGACCGACAGTGATCGATGCGTGGCCCTCGAGCAGCAGCACGAAGTGACATGCCTCCTTGCCTTTCTGGTACAGGTACTTGGGCAGGTCATAATTTTCCTCCGGCTTAACGCGCCTCACGTTCTGACGAATCAGACGCTGCAGTACCTGTTCACTGATGAGGCTGAAACGAAACGCGTCGAAGTTTGCGCTCAGGTACTGAAAGGCAGCCAATGCCAGCTGGCTGCTCAGCGCGCACGCCTCTTCGTCTGGGTTGAAGAACGGGTTGTCCGGGTCGCGACCGGTTGTGATGGTGGAGGCTTTCAATTTTCGTCGGCGCCGGTTCTCGCGAATCACGTCGAACTCGTCCATGATCTCCATTTGAATGATCTCCTCGATGATGTCCTCCAGAGTGACCATACCGATGTTCTCGTACACCGGGTCGCCGTCACCCTCTGAGTTTATACGCTGAACAATAGCCATGTGATAGTTCCCTTAAGAAAATCGCCTTCACAGCATACAAACACATCGTACGTAACAGAACAAGAAAGTTTCAACGAAGCGGCAACCTGCCGCACTGTGACTTGTGCCGCAATTTGGTTTAGTCCATAAGGCAGCAGTCGTCCGGGCCTCGCTCCCGGATGATCGCCAAGCCTCATAACAGCAACGGCACCACTCTTACGGTGACCGTAGTCGTGCTTTAAACTTTAAACATGCTACGGTGCTGTAAAGCGTAAGGCAAAACAAAACGAAACGAGAAACCGTCGCCGTTTTACCTTTGCGAAATTCTTCGAGCATGATCGACAGCGGCGTGTCTTCCATCACGAACCGAACCGGATGATGATAGAACTTGCAGATCGTGTTCAACGGTATCAGGTCTTCCGGATCGAGCAGCGCCAGATCTTTTACGTTCAGAATGCCGATGATGTTGCTTTTCGATGAACTCTCGTGTACCGGAATTCGGGTGTATCCGATGCGCACAATTTCGTTGACGGTCGCCGGATCGAGCACGGCGTCTGACGACAGCGTGTACACGTCGTGAATGTTCACCATCACGTCACACACTCGTTTATGACTTAGTTCCAGAGCACCAGTGACGATCTGTACCTCCTGACAGTTTCTCAGGTCGGACTCTTGTTCTTTGGACAAGCGGATCAACTCGAGCAGGTGATCGCGGTTGTACACTTCGGACACCTCCTCACCGAGCACCTTGTCCAGTATGCGACTGATTGGCCAGCTCATCGGACTGGTCAGCACCATGAAAAACTTCGTTATCCACACAGTGTACGCGCCGACCGCCAGGCCATACCGGCTGCACACCGCCTGAGGCACGATTTCGCCGAATATGACGATGCCAAACGACGACACGAGCAGCGCGATGTAGCCAGACGTCAGGTCGTCGAACAGAATGCTTATGGAGCTGTTCACGATCACGTTACCGATCAACAACGTGCACAACAAATAGTTGCCGGACTTTCGAACAGGATAGATCTTCTCAGCAAACTTACGTTCTTTTTTGTCGCCACATTTCAGGATGATTTTCAACTCGGTTTTGTTCAACGTCATCAGGCCGAGGTTCAGGCCGCTGAACAGGCCAGACAGTACCAGCAGAAAGCAGAGAAAGATGATCTGCAACGGCAACGGCATATAGTTTTCCTGTACAAACCTCTCGACCGAAATCCGTTGGTACTCCTTGTTGCCTTGGTGCACCCATTCCTCAACCTGGATCGTCTCGTTGATCGTCGAGTCGGGCACGCTCCAGCTAAAGCAGACGTAGTACACCTTTTCCTCGACGAACGTCACGGCGAACGCCAACGAGTCTGGGTCCAGCGGCTTGAACTCCTGACTTGGAATCGACAGGCCGAGGCCGACGTCGCTGCATTCGTTCTCGTTCGTCGTGAACATTAGCGTCTGTACGAGCAGAAGGTTGCGACCGAACAGACGAACTCGCACCTCGACGTTAGGTTGCACCACTACCATCCCGGTGAGACTAAACCAAACGGATCGTGACGCGAAACACGAGCACCACGCGACAAAAGTCATAAGAATAACAACATGCAAGCACACCGTGCTGTCAAAAACCATGGATCACTGGGGTGGGCAACCAAACCGACAACTCGCTGGAAATCATTGCATTCTCCGTCAGTTTTCGACGCCGTGATCGCCATAAAGGGGTAAAAATAAACCCAAAATAGCATAGCTGCTCAATTAAATAATGACTTGTGATCGCCCACAAGAGTGATGTTTCTTTAAACTCGTTAAAAAACGCTTCATTTGGCACTGCATCGACAACTATATTTCCATAACCAACTAATCGGACTTAAATATCTACAATAATCCATGTAAATGCAAATTCAAAAACCAAGCTCAGCTGAAATATCGTAGCTGCACTACGCTCATTACAGGCATTTAATATGAAAAAGTACTTGGCACTGTGACGAGCAAAAAACAAACCCACATAAAGCTTGTAACACAGTTCTGCTTAAAAGAAGCATAACATTATAATCATACACCAGGACCACCATCAATTTGTACAGCTTACAAAATTTTGTGCTGGCACTGCACCTCACTGTATTTCCTAGAAAATGACATTAACAGTAACTAAAAGAAACAAATATTCACAACTCTGATTCCTTCCCTACCGATAGATAAATCCGGGCAACCAAAAAATCAAGCCGAATGTCCAATGTATTAGAGGTCATCGCATACTAACAGTAAAACCGTAACTACTCGTATAACGACTGCTTACCCTTAACAATTACACATTTGTAAAAAGCAAAAATAATAATGTAGTAACAGTAGCATTACTAAAAGTACTGCTTCTATTTACTAATAGTAGAACTAGAATAATTGCACAGTAGCTACATACTGCAAATATTACCGTACTTCGAGAGATGAGTCACTGGTAAATACACATCATACGGGGAAAGGGGCACGTTTAGGCTGGAAATATCAATTTTCCTTCACAAAACCTTCATTTATGTCGATGCGGTGACGCGCTGATGTGAAGAGTTCCCTGGTCTTCTCGAAAAGCACTGCTAAAATTGCGCCATACTTTTATAAGTTAACTTTTTGCACAGGACATGCTTCGTACAACGGCAAGGCTATTCGAAGGAATGCAGGAGTAAACACGACACAATTAGCCTTGTAAGAAGCAATATTATTCCAACTGTTCGCATTCTGTATAATCCAAATAGGTGGTTTGTGCAGTCTCCCAATGTCGCACACCTAATTCTTGATGCTTAGGGAACCACTCATTTCACTGAGATTCACATATCGACAGAGTAAACACATCATTTACGGCTAAAAGATGCTGTACAGATAATCACAACAAAGTCAACGAAAAGACGCGGCAAGGGAATTGTAGTCACAAGTAGACAATACCATTACTCATTACCGTAAACCATAACAATATTACTAGCAGCACCATAAACGCTGATCACAGAATACGGACTACGTGACGCAATATGGAAAAGTGCATATCTACAATAAAAAAAAACAAATAGGAAGACGAACGAACAGGTCAGAGTACAAACGTGGCTCTGCTACGTCCCTACAAGAGTGAAGAAGTTGTAATGGCAGTGAGTTCTTGCAAGAAGAACATGTCATTGCTAACCAAAGCGATTAGACTGGTTTCCAAGGAACAGTAAACGGACCATGGAAAGATCTTCAGATCCATGGCCGGGTGAGTTAAAAGAATTTGTTGGAGCAACACGGTAAGAATCCCAGAAAACAGAAGAGAGCTCATGGTGATGATTATTAACAGCATGTTTATACTTACTGCTGACAACAATTAGAACTAATATTGCAAATGAAGTTCCAAAAGATTTCCTCCTAGAATGTCGAAAAACAACGGCAATGATCAAAGTGCACTGCAACGGCCTCAGAACAGGACAAAATAGTAAATGCGATTTTCCATACTAACCAAAGGTTAAATATGATAAAACTTTAAATTACTGCTCAGCTAGCAGTCCTATTACCTTCACGAAGTCCGACATCACCATCGAAAGCAAACGTCTAAGGAATATAGATTCTGAACAGTATTACCGACTAAGATCAATGAGGCTTACTTAGTACAATATCTCACAACATGCTACTTGAAAGATGTTTGCACATTTATTCGTACATGCTACCGTCTAAAATGGTAATCCGTCCATACATGTATGGACAAGTCAGTACAGGTACGAAGTGAATTTTTTTCGCGGCTTAGTCAAAGGCGATAATACCTACGCATTACCGCACTGTCACTATAATTCTATTACCTAAACCTCCGCACTGTTTTCGGCAAGTTCATGCCATTGCTAAGGTGTAGACTGAAGCTTAGACAGTAACGCAGTTAAAATCATACATTATCGGTGTCCAAAGTGAACTGATAATTAACCGCTCTGAATGGTAGCATATACAAGTTATGAGAAACAACGTAAAATGAGGTTTATTAATAAACAACGCAAAAAAATATGGTTAGTATAGATGTTTCGGCTCGTGTTTCACGAGCATTCTTCAAAGTAGGACGGCGGTAAAGTAGCAGAGGTTCTACTTGCTGTCCGAGGCTGCTGGTAGGTGTGGAGCCAGAATGCAAGCTGAAGGACTAAACCGTGCTGCTGGCTAATAGTTTCTGGGAGACAGCACGACATGGATCATCCAATCCGCGCAGAGTTAGTAGCCTTTGTCACGGTTGACATTGCCGCAGGACTGGATGATTAATGCATCTTTGACATGACCGTACAGCTAATCTTTATCTGATGATGCCGATAAATTCTGATCATCGGGAGGGGGTATTCTTGATTGCATGCTGTACAACAAACATGGCAAGCGGTAAAGTAGCAAATTTAGGACCAGACGGCCTGGGCATACTGAACAACTGGTGACAGCGTCAAACAAGCGAAAACAAAGTCTACAACCGTTCGAATGCCATTCTCCATTACACTTTCAAGCGTGGTCTCCATTTGTGGCACCCTTATTTTACGCTGCATAACGCATTTTTAAATAAACATTTCAGTGCCATCAGATCGGATCATTCTGTTTTAAGGTTATTCCTACCACTATAGCATGTAATATTCAGTTTCCTTCCCACAAAGTAGTGCCGATCTGTCTAACTCAGAATTATGAAAGGTGCGTGAACCGATCGAGCTGAACACCCATGACCTTGAGTGTGAACCCGGCAGCACTCTACCGCCCTATCAAATCAACCAGTCGCTGAAACGCCACGCCTGCGAATCGACTCACATATGCTAGCTCCAACGGCGAAAGATCGAAGCCTTCGAAAAAAATTTCTGAAGCTATTGTTTCTCTGCAGTCCAATAGGAGCGGCAGACAGGCAACAAACATGCAGGTACGAAAAAATCAACCGTACAGCACTTGACAACGCAAGATGACCAAAACTCGAGCAACGTTTATAGATCAACGAACGGCGCGAAGATCATCTGCAAGTCAACGACGATCGCAAAGACATCACATTCGCGTGCTGACACGAACAAAAACTGAAACATACACACGAGACCGGTCGTCGGCGAGCGCGCACACAATATCTTACGACTGTATTGGAAGTTAGTAACAATTCAAGCTAAAGTCAGCACAGCACGCACATGAAATGTCTCCAATTCAATTTCGAATGCACTTGTTCATGCGAACTTACCGTCCAGTCCCGCTGGTGTATCTGCAGAAAAAAACTCTTTTAAATTCATATGACGAAGCATCTATAAACTGTGCAGTAAATGACAATCACAACGCCGCACGATTCTGACGAACGCGTTTGATTACACAATTGTACTTGAAACGTCCACCGAATTAAACAGTCTATGAGTAA